GACTTAAGTGCATTGAAATATTACAAATATATTTTCACATAAATTCATGTTTTATCAAACAAATGACCAGATGCTTTACCGTCGTCCGCTGCAATTATGGGTAGAGCTTTACCGAGTTTGGTGTGTACTCTGAGAAGTCAAAAAAAAAAATACAAAATTCGTCAGTGTGGGTTAATTCTTCTGACAGAGTGAGTAGATGATGTATGTATTTGTTTTAATTTTAGCCCTTTAAACAATTTTTGAGTGTTCAAAATTTATGAGTCTAAAATGAGTCTTCCTTTTGTTACAAATATGATTTTGAAACCAGTCAACCAGACTGGCTCATTTGGGACTCTTTTGGTGTCATAAATTCTGAATTGAACAGCAGATATTACCTTTTCCCACTGGGAGATCACTCATTCATATGTAGTGTGTTTATATTTATGTTTGTTTGCATTATGTAGTGGTGGAACGTAATGCCAGCAAATACTGGGCAATGCTTTATTCGAGACATATTTAAGGAATATTCAATGACAACAACAACAATAAACACAATAACATCAAACATAATAAATATTCTTATGTGGATTACTTTACAAAACAAAACAAGAAAAAAATAACGCAATGATTAAAGAAAACATAAATGTTTAAAGATCATACAAAAAATGTAATGAAAATATATGTATGTATGTAAAATGTATGCGAAATGGAGATTTTTGACAGATCTCTAATGGAACAGTTAATTTTCATTTTAGCTAAATTAATTTTCATTATTGTTTAGGTCTATAGTATTAGGTAGGTGTGATTGCCAGTGGTAAGCAGCGATATACGTATGTATATATATGTTTGGGGCTATAGTATTAATTGATATTTGCTGAACATTACGTTTATGTATGTACATATTATACAATCCATTTATATTTGCTTGTACTCATGTCTAAACGCTATTCCGGTTCCTGGTTATTTGGTAACCTGTTTAAAAATTACATTGGATCAGAAGTTTTTTTTTTTTTTTGTTTCACCGGATGTCACTATCTAACTCGTATATAGAATTGCTCGGTGATTCCGAAAATTAAGTTAACTATGGACCAGTTTTCGGGATATTTGCAGTTTACGTATATCTTACGATTTACAAATTTAACAATTTGAATATGAAATACGGCAAATGGAATCTAATAAAATTCTCCATAACCCGTTGTGCATCATTTTTCGATAGGGCTAATAGTTGCTGAGAAATTATTTAATCATTCGAAATTTTTTGTTTTTTTGATGGTAAATTAAAAAAATTAAAATTTTAGCAGATGAAAGAAAATAACGATTTTTTTGTCCATTTTTTATGTTGTATGAAAGCCTGTCCCTTTACGAAAAAATTAAGCTACCAAAGAAGAAATGAATAATTAAGAAAGCAATGAGTGGTCAAATGAAAATGCGCAAGGATCAGAAAATAGGGTTATTCAGGTGATCATGGCGTATGAGTAACATTCTTTATTGCTCACTTTTCATGCAAAAAATCGTTGCGCATTTTCATTTGACCACTCTTTATTTCTTTATTTATACATCGATTTTCTTCATTAGTAGCTTGCTTTTTATCTAACTCGAATGCAATAAATTTACACGGAATCTGTAATTTTTTAAATTTTTTCCTTGTTAAAGTTTGATTTTTTTTTTAATTTTTTTTATCAAAAATACAAAAAATCTGGAACTATTAATTTATCTCTCACAAATCTTCAGGCTTATCGGAAAGTAATTTCCATACGGTTTATGAAGATTTTTGTTAACTTTCATTTGCTATGTTTTAAGACATACGAGATATTTCATTGGCTCGTAAGATATACATATGTACATACGGACAAAGTGAAGCACTGTTTTACGCTGAATTACGGTAAATTTAAAATATCACGAAAACTTATCTATAGAAAAAAATTAACTCGATTTTCGGAAGCACCGAGGAATTCTACATACTAATTGCATAGTAAACATTTTTGCTGTGAGCCAGTTTTATTATTCACTGGTCTATGTCTATTTTATTGCTGTAAACTGAATAAAAAATATAAGCACAAAACCAGAGCATCCTGTAACCAGGCAGTTGCGAACACACACACACACACAGACATTATATAGATAATTTGGTTTGTATGTATAAGTTTTTCAAAAGAATAATATTGACATATTAACAAGTCGTAAGCAAGTAAACACATTTTCTATTAAGGGCCGGTTACTCAATGTCTGGTTAACACTAATCTGCGGTTAAACATCGTTATCGACGACTTCGACTCCATGCATATAACGGAGTCGGTAACGTCGATAACTATGCTTAACCGGAGATTAGTGTTAACCAGACATTGAGTAACCGGCCCTTAATGTACTTCACTTTATTATTATTATAAATAGAATAATGTACTAAAGTTTGCTTTAATAGTTATAAATCAAATACACTATAAAACGGACTAATTTTTATTTAACACCAAAGCTAAGCACGCCATGTATGATTACTAAAATGTATACACATAAATAATAAGGAAGGAAAGTAGAAACTTGACGGGACTTCATTTGTTAGTTTATAGATTATACATACACACCTTTATATAAATTTTAATTATGACAAACTCGATTCTTATGAAAGTAGTAACGTTAAAATTTTGTAAATGCACACAAAGTTTTACCATAAAAGCTTAGTATCCAGCTCTTAAGAAAACGGTCAAGAAAAAATTGCCATTATTTCGCGTGTGTGTCCAAGGAATTTTGACATTTTTGATAACGCACAGCCTGTTGCCTCACTCTTTCCTCAAGAAATAATGAAAGCTGCAAAGGCACACGAACATAACTGAAGTAAACAACTAAACGGTTGCGAGTTCATACCATGTCAATAGAATGTTACCATAATAATAAATAAATTAATCATGTGTAGTGTGTAAAAGTATATACCAATTTGTATTATTTTTATATAGTTTGGCCATGCCTAGGATTTTTGAGGTAAGTGTTAGACCCACCATTACTCGACGTATACATATATACCCAGTGGGAAAATAGGAATCCATTACCTTTTTCAACCAAGAAAAGATTAATAATAACTACGGTTCAAAGAAAAGATGCATTCCAATGTAAGCGAGCGGATGATGTATAGCTTTGAAGCGACAAACAAAGCAAAAAGTTTGAAAACTAACTCAAGTACGTTTTTTGTTCACGTTTTCTCAACAGCTGCTGTAGCCGAATGGATGCGTGCTCGACTGCCGTGTTGTTGGTTACAGGTTCAAAACATGTGGCACGGCCTTTATTTTTTATTTTTATTTTTTTTTGTTAGATTATATGTATTTATAGTTTCGTAAAGCGTCATGCGACACGTTACTATCGTATGACATCGCTGTGGAGAAATTCTTGCATCTTTTCGTGCGTAGGTTATAGCCCCTTACTCCATCACTTTTTGCATTCCTATAGATTACCTTTTCCTACTGGGTATGTATGTATGTTTATGTATGTATATGCACATATATACATGTGTAGTGGAACTGAAAAACTTTGGTATGGTCAGAGAACGTTTATAAATGAGAAGGCGCATTTTCTGTGTGAACTAATTGCTGCCAGAAATTTTGGGGTGTAGTCGGCCAAATATACCACTCGTCGACGAGTCAAAAAAATGCCATAGAAAATCTTATCAACTTAGCTGAAATAGAAAAATTCATACATGTTTGCAAAAATCAATTTGCAACAATCAGCTAATCGATTTCACGCAAATATCATATTTTCGGCAAGCAAGCAAATGTACAAAAGCCCGCTCCTTTCCCCGTTTCCCGCTTCTTACACAACACTTGTCGTTCTGACTTCCATTTTTATTTACTGCCATCCCTAAATTGGCGCGTCAAGCGCCAAGCAACTGTCAAAAATCCTCATGCCCATACAATTTGTATGAAGCATCCCACAATAACGCGGCGCTAACGCCGAGCAAATGGAATTTTCATTTTTGACAGGGCGTTACGTGCTGAAGTTGGATGCAGAAGACGAAGATAAAGAGAACGGACAAAGAAGAGAAAAAGGAAACGAGAATAAAAACGAGAGGACCTGAGAAAACGTCAAAATTGACGACGTGTTGATTTGGGTATAGCGCGCGCTGACACTCGTTGGCGCTAGAAAACCCAACGCTTGGCGCGCCAATTTAGGGACGACAGTAAGAGTTTGTTTTGATCCGACACAATCACGCGCGGGCCTCCGCAAGCACCCCTCTGCCTAATGCTTATTATATTTCTGTTCCTCTTTCCTTTTTCGTTCTTATTTTTTCATTTTGCTTTGAACTATGGTAAATTTGCTCAAAGTGTGGTGGCACGGAAAAATTTTTGGTATGGTGGCAGCCGACACTTCTCTACCGACACCGTCGGTCGAGTGGTGCACTCGTCGACGTGTGGTATATTTGGCCGACTGCNCTACCGACACCGTCGGTCGAGTGGTGCACTCGTCGACGTGTGGTATATTTGGCCGACTGCACCCCAAAATTTCTGGCAGAAATTAGTTCACACAGAAAATGCGCCCCAGAGAACGTATATTTATATTTAAAAAAAAAAATTTAATTTTTTTTACTTGGGTTTTCTATTTGAAAATTTTCCCAAAATAACACAAAAATTATCAATATTCATATTTAATTAACATTCCAAATGCTCTCGTGAGATTTAGCTCTGTTAACATTCTTCTTTTCTGCTTTGTATTTTGCTTTCGCTGTTAAGTATTCCAAATATTTGTCGCTCTTAAAATGCGCTTCGCCAGTTTAGTTGGCTCGAAAAATGTGGCATTCACAGTTCTTGGACCTTCTCTATAAATATACGTTCTCTGTAAATATACGTTCTCTGGCCAGTTTAGTTGGCTCGAAAAATGTGGCATTCACAGTTCTTGGACCTTCTCTATAAATATACGTTCTCTGCTATTCTTGCCCATATTTGACAGTTTACAAGTTGTCAAAGATATACAGTTATTTTCGTTAAATTTTAACCTCACCCAATTAATTTTTTTCTATCTTCGGTCATAAAAGTTTTTAATTTATTTTATTCAAAATAGTAAAATTATGGATGTGTTTTTAAATGAAGAACTCTCATCTGAAGCGAAAAAAGATATGCGACACGCATATTTGCGCGAGTGTGGTATAACATCTAAAATGAACGAAATATTGCACAAACTATTACAAGCGAACGTGAAGCCAGAAAATCCTTTGGATTTCATACGGGAGGAATTGGGTGATAAACCTATACCGGCTGAAGTTATTGGAAATATGGAGCACGAGTTGGACGATGCGCAACGTGAGATTCGACGCTTGCGTGGTATACTGAAAGAGCTGGGCATTCATAACGTGGATGAAGAATTTCATGACGCGGAGGCTGGGCCAGATGAGTTTGAAAATGTAGCGAATGAGTTCAACAATTCGATGAATATTGCGACTTCAAATGATGGGCAAGGGGATGGACAACATCATCAACAACTTAGCTAAGTTTAAACAAATTCACATACGAAATGGCTTATTCTAATATTGATAAATAAAAATAATGTACAAAAGTTGCTGCAGTACGATGGCGTTTAAAGAGAAAATAAATAATTGGTTGAGCGAAATCAACAAAAATTAAGGTAATTTATTGATTACTTCTAAATATGTTCATATATTACAATGGCTTAATCTACATATCGTTGGCTTAATTCACAAAGTCGCAAGCAAAATTTTATTTTTCTTTTACAGAAGCAAAAAACATAAAAAAGCTTGTAGAAATCAAATCATGCATACGTATAAGGCGTTTTAAAAAAAATGCCAAAACTCTGTTGTTTTTGGTACTAATACTTTCAAATTTTCTGTGGTTTGGTTTCGAAAAAAACTCTTGGCTAGGGCCTTTTTGAATTAAGTGACGATATGCACATATATAGGTAGAGCCTGTTGCACTTGGAATTGAGTGGAGCTTTTTATGACATGTAATTTTAAGGTCTGCATAAGGCAGGTATTGGGACTTGCGAAGGGACACACACTTAAAATGTGGATTGACAACGGTACCTATATAAAAGCGTCGGCGTTGTCTGGCTGTTAAAAAATGCTCATACCTTTGAGTTCGGCAGCAACGCTGAGCGGTTGGAAAATCGTATTTTGACAGGGCATTGGGAAATGAAGTTGGCTGCAGATAACGGCGCAACTGTCATTTTTGTATTTCACACAAACAAATCTATCTTGTTGTTGATGTAACAGCTTACAAATTCCCCAAATACCTTTTGCGGAGTGTTGATGGAATGTTGTTGTTGTAGCAGCATACAAGTTCCTCAAAGGGTTTTTGGGGAGTGTTGGAGTGACAGTCCTTGGCCAGATATAAATCTGGGTCTTTCCGGTTACGTAGATCCGACTGTCGTGGGAACGGTGTTGTTGGAATGACAGTCCTTGGTTAGATGTAAACCTGGGTCGTTCCCGTTACTTAGACCCGACTGTCATGGGAACGCTTATTGTTGGTGTTATATCTGGTAATGGCACATCGGCGTTAACGCCAGGCGTCAGAAAACACTTCACCCAACGCTTTTGTTTAGGTATAGGAGTAAGAGTGTACACTTGCACAAGTTCTTCAAACCGTTCCCTGCGCAAGTCACAATACAAGCCTAAATATTGTTCAACACATACTCCTACTATAAGCGAAATATCGTTACCTAAATTAACAAAGGCCTTAACCAACCAATTTTTTATTTTACAGGAGAAAAAAAAACCTTATAAAAAGAGCATCAAAAACTGGTAGGGCTTTTTAAAAAGTTGCATGTAACTCCGTCATTTTTGGTACTAACACTTTAAAATTTTTATTTAGAGTGTATTTTAGTACATTCTACCAAAATCGATGAAAAATGCAGTTTCGAAAAAGAGTTGGTTAGGTCCTTTGTAAATTAAGGTAACGATATACTACATTACGGGTGTGTTCAGAAATGCATCAAGCCAAAGCATCAGTCTCTTTTATTACTAAACTATCATTGATGAATATACCTTATTTAAGCAAATAAGTTCCAATTCGTTATTAGACCGTCCCTGCGCGTATTGGTCTTTCCACCAAATTTTAGAAATAAAAGAAACTGATGCTTTGGTTTCATGCATTTCTGAACGCACCCTACTTTACCACTTTTTTACTCGTACTTTTTTTGATTTCGTTGTCAATTTGAAAAAGAAAGAACGTTTTATCATGGTATGAAGTTTGCAACATTTCAGTAGATTTCGAGTTGAAAGTCAGCAACAGAGCATCAATAAAACAACTGTCAAAGTTGACCTCTTAGGCAATTTGTATGAAGTTTTTAAAATTTGAAAAAAAATCTAGCCTAGTCCCTCCGACAATCAGCTCTGTTTGTCAGTCTAGAATATACCGTAACGTGACATCAGTCAAGTGCAACTCTTGCCTCGGCTGGTGCCACTTTAGGGCGTGCTCAGGACTTCGCAACATGCGAAATTGGACGAGTGACTATGTGGGCCCCTGCGCTGCTGCCCCGTCGCATCCCTACTCCCAACTCTTTAACACCACACATCACAATTGGTCTCCCAAGGCACACAAAGGTGCTACAATTTAACTGTAACTGACTCCAGAGCAAGATCGAGGAGATAACTGTCTTTATGGGAAGGCATGGAATATTAATAGCTGTGGGCCAAGAGATAATGGTGGAGGTTTAGCGTTCATCAACCACCACATCGTGCAGTATCGTCGTATTGAAGCAGATATCGACCGCAGGGATACCATCCTAGAATGTCAGGGTATTGCTATCCGGTCAGGCGATGTTGAGCTCGAAATATTTAACGTATACATACCCCCTGTCCACCAGCTGCCCGGCAGGATATCACCCTGAAATAGGTGCGCTACTCAGAGGTGAAAACCGTATGGTAGTTGGTGACTTTAATGCTCACCACGCACTTTGGCACTCAAGCATGGCAAATGATCGTAGGGGAACGCACCCACCAGGATTATGGGCAGCTGCCGCAGCTCGCCAGATCTAACAATTGTCAGCGCTGGTCTGATAAACAGCATATCATGGCGAGCTATGCTGACCCTAGCACCAGACCATCTGCCCATATTCATCTCGACTGATAAACCTGCCGACTTTACTTCCGTGGATCACCGGACTTATGTCAACTTTTCCAAAGCTGACTGGAAAGTCTTCACTGATGTTACTGAGGGCGCATTCACTGCACTGCCCATACCAACCGACGTTCATGTAGGTGAACGTAAGTTCCGCAGGGTTGTTACCGCTGCTGCAGCTCGCTTCATCACAGCAGGATGTATTAAGGACCCACGTCCGAACTTTCCTGCTGAAGCGGCGACAACCTTCGTCAGGCCGACCCCGAAAATCCCCGTATCAGGGATCTCAATTCGGAGATTCGGCAACTTGTGAACGTACATAAGCGGAAGAAATGGGAAGAGCGTTTGAAGACCTGCAACTTCGCCTCTGATGTGAGCAAGCTTTGGTCAACCGTGAGGTCGTTGTCCAACCCGACGAAGCGTGACGACAGAGTCGAAATGCGCGAGCTATTTTAGCCGGCAGTTCATTCTGCATCCTCTGGTGGATAAAGCCAAACGTCGAGTGACCAGAAGGCTGCACAAAATGCTAAAACCCAGCGCGCCTCTTGTTTTCACCAGCGGTGAGGTAAGGGTAGCCATCGGGAAGGCGAAAGCTTCCAAAGCCATTGGACCCGACGGAATATGCATGTTGATGCTGAAAAATTTGGGTCCGCGGGAGCAGCGTACCTAACGGAGGTCCTCAATCTGTCTGCGGCCACTCTCGTCATTCCAGACATCTGGAAAATGGGGAGAGTGGTCCCACTGCTCAAACCGGGGAAACCAGCCAATAAAGGAGAGTCTTATCGCCCGATAACCCTCCTTTTCCCGGGAGCGAAGACACTCGAGGCCCTGCTGCTCCCGTATTCTACGAACCACCTGACCCCAGCGAGCATCAACATGGGTTCCGTAAAGTGCATAGCACAACAACAGCACTTAACGCCAGAAACACTCAGATAACTCGTGGCCTATACCGAAACGGCCCCTGTGAGAGAACANAACAACAGCACTTAACGCCAGAAACACTCAGATAACTCGTGGCCTATACCGAAACGGCCCCTGTGAGAGAACAATTCTAGTAGCGTTGGACCTGTCCAAGGCGCTCGACACTGTCAGTCATTCAACGCTACTAGAAGATATAGAGGCCTCAACACTCCCACAGGGACTCAAACGGTGGTCGGCGAATTACCTGAGTGGTCGACACTCGTCAGTAATTTTCAGACAAAACTAGCAAGCCACGTAAAATTAAACAGGGGGTACTACCGGGTGGTGTCCTGTCCCCGCTACTGTTTAATTATTACATCTCAAAGCTTCCTCATCCACCAGAGGGTGTTAATATAGTCTCCTATGCTGAACATTGTTCGATCATGGCGTCTGGGAAATGGAAATGGAATTGATGACTTGTGCTCGAAGGTTAACGGTTACCTCGCCGAACTTTCTCGCTTCTTCACTGCAAGGAGCCTTGCCCTATCCCCTGCGAAATCCTCGGCAACCCTTTTCACCACCTGGACGAAGGGCAGACTGCAACTGGGTATTCACGTCGATGGCGTAACAATACCGACGGTGAATAACCCGAACATCCTCGGAGTTACCTTCGTCAGTCTGCTTTCCTTCTCGGCGCATAAAACCGCAATTATCAACAAAGTACAGAGCCGCAACAATGTCCTTAAGTCGCTGGCCGGCAGCACTTGGGACAAAGATCAAGAAACGTTGTTAGAAACATACAAGGCAATTGGCCGGCCGGTTCTAAACTATGCAGCGCCCGTATGGTCGCCGGGGACTAGCAGGACGCAGTGGATGAAGCTACAGACCTGCCAAAACACGGCATTACGAACAGCGACAGGATGCCTCCTGATGACGCCCCAACACCACCTACATGACGAGGCCCAGATGCTCCAGTAAAGGAGCATAACATAATGCTCTGCAAGCAGTTCCTTGTTGGGACCCACAGACGTGGCCATCCCAGCGGCTAGCGGAAGAGCCCTCGCCACGGCACGTCAGGAGGTATCTTTAGGCACTGACTGACGAAGTCCAGAGGTTTATCAAACAACCTCTGGACCCGTCAACCTACCGACAGGCCCTGAACGGCCTTCACAGGGAATCAGTCTCAAGTTATGTAGACTCCCGCCCTGTGAATGCCGTTCTAGGCACACAACCACCGGACGTGGACGGGTAGACGGGGACGTGAAAATGTTACTAGTTCACAAAACTCTTAAATTATTTAATTTTCGATGTTTATTGTTATTTAGTTTTGAGTTTATGATGGATTTTCTTTAGTAAAATTTTGTCGTAAGCGCCATTTGTCCACAATTTGGCAGCCACTTTGTATGAAATACGACAAAATGTGATGAAAATTTCTATTAAATTAACAACACTTTTTACTCAATATCTCGGAAACTAAAGGAGATATACAAAAATGGAGAAAACAATTTCTAAGATATTGATTAGCTTAAAATGACTGCATCACAAACTAAATTTTTACTAAATTATCGAAAAAATTGTAGTCTCGGAAACTAAAGGAGATATCTAAAAACTGATAACACCAATCGAAAGACCTTATTTCAAAATATATAACTACATCTAGGACTAAAAATCGTCAAAATGGCGCTTACTTACGACAACCTTTTACCCAGGCGACGCAATGTTTTTAACAATTTATGTAAACAAACAAAAGAAATCGTCATAAGCTAGAAATAGAAAATTGCTCTACTAGACTCGGTAGCCGACAGTTGCCATCTGTAATGCGAATTTTAGTACACTTAGGTCTGTTGTTGTTGTTGTTGTTGTAGCAGCATACGAATTCACCAAAGAGTTTTTGGGGAGTGTTGCTGGAGTTACAGTCCTTGGCCAGATATAAATCTAGGTCGTTCCTGTTACGTACGGGTCGACTGTCGTGGGAACGTATGTATAAGTTCCTTATCGGCTATCATTCGCCAGTGGCAGGCAAAGTCACGGGGAAGCTTAAGTTAATCTTGCCGGTGTTGTACGGCCCATATAACGGTAGATCCTTAGATGACGCCTTGTTTGTTGAAATTTTATTGGCACCACAATATTTGGAAACGCGAACAAGAGCTTTGTTTTTAATAAAGAGAAAAGGTGAACGATTTAATTTTATTAAAGTGAATTATTTCTAATGAAATAATGAATATCATTGAAGAGCAATTTTCTTTTAAAAAAAGTGCTAAATACACCAATCGAGGTAAAAAACTCTTCGTCGCAATCCATCGTTCACACTGAACGCACAAAAACGAATGCAGAAGCTCGCTTCGCTTTGGTGTTTTCACTCTGAGACCTTATAGCCTTGCTTTTCGCATGAAATATTATCGTTTTAAAGCTTCAAATCGCAAAAAGGCGCGGTAAAAATGTAGTATTTTTTAAATCTCCTCGCCAGTTCCACACAATTAATTCGCTATGTTGAAAAGAACATACATTTGTTCATACTTTTTATTGAATTTCAAAATGAATTTTATTCCTTTTTGTTTTAGTTCCTTATATCATAAACTTAAATGGTAAATTAAATTGTATGCATATATCTTTTTTCAATATTTTTTAATGGTGTTTTAAAGATTTCTGTAGCATTTTTCCCGTATGTACTAGAATTTATATTCATTATTAATTAAATTCTGTCTGAATATGCTCGAATATCCTTAAAAGGAAACAACTAAACACTAAAACCAAGGAGAATAAGATGTATTTTATGTTTAGTGTGGGTAACGCTGCTTTCCCGTATGAATTATGTATTTACTTATTTAATCATTTAAATTTCATTTATTTTATTGTATTATTTTTATCTTCCATAATTTTAAAGATGGTTTTTGCTCTATATAAAATGTTTCCTTTAATAATTTTGCACGCACTTTTACTTTTGCCCTTGGGTTTGTTACGGCTGTTCGTTCACTGCTTGTGCAGAGGCTGTTAACGAGTCGTCATGGTGCCAAATTGCAAGGCTTATTAATACACGTCTGCACACGTCACCTGTGTTGCGCGATGGTAGAGCTATTTTAACATCAAATTGCCTTGCAACCACCAACTGACATTGTGTACCTTATAACTGCTATCCACGATGTTGCTATTATTTTTGCATTTTTTACATCTATGTATTTTTCTTGCAGTTGGTTTTATACCTGCGCTATTTTGTGTTACCTAAAGTCCTCTATAAACATATTGCAGCGTTTTTTTACGTTTGTAGTTTCTAAAGCAGCCAGCAATATCCTTAGAGAATTATTCTTATTAAAATGAAGAAAAACATACATAGCTGACGCGGCGCGTGATAGTAGGGTTTTCTTTCCTCAGTAAATTCATGGAGTTTTAGACACCAACATACATTTATTTATTTTTTATTATTTATAATTTGCCGTTTTTTTACTCTATTTGATCCAGGCTATGTTTGTATGCCTCGCTCTACATTTTTATGTGGTATGTATATATATTTTTTTATTAATTTATGCATGTATGTATGTATATTTTGGTTTAATAACGCGACCATTGTTGGTTATAATTTATGTGTGTGCTTTTATTACTCTGTACGTATGCATTTATTTGCTTTGTTTATTGCGCCACGCAAAATGTTGTGTTAAATTTTAATTAATTTACTTTTAATATGTATGCATATTTGTGTATACGTTTGAAATTTTATATGCTAAAACCTAGTTTAATGAAAATTGCATTGGCGTGTTGTTACGGCTGATAATGTAAAGGATAGATTTTGTGTTCTTACTTAATTGCTCTTCTTCTTATTTGTAATTGCTATGTTAATGTTTATTTTTATTTTATTTTTATTTTTTTGATATTTTCCTATTTATACTTTCTGCCTATTTTCATATATAAATTTCTTACAAAAGAAATGCAATTTTCAACACGTCAAACCTCTGTTTTTGTTGAACAAAAAAATAAAAATTTATCTGCATTCTTAATATTTTATTCTTGTCATGGTTAGCCATTTTTACCATACAATTTCAAAGTGCATAAGAATATACCTATGCCTACGTGTGTATATTTCGAAACATTACAATATACATTATTGATTTATTGATAATATTTGAATGGCTAGTTTAGTATAATTTATGCTTTAGTTTCTTACTTGAACTGGTTCGCTTACAGTTTACTAAATAACTATGCACTTCCACTACACAACACTTTGCCTTTCGTGACTCATTTGCTGAGCCCTTACTTTTTCCATTTACTCCAAAACCAATTTAACATCATATCATATACATACGTGCGATGTACTTTAATATAGCTTTTTATTTCTTAATTTTCTTAATGGGAATTACATAGTACATTTATTATGCACACAAATGTATATTGATTCCTTCCCTGCATTAGTTTAATGTTTTATTTTGATATTTTACCGCCGCATAGATATTGCCTTAATGCATTCTCATTTACCTTTGAATAGCTAACACATTTATGCATTTTCGTGTTTCATAATATTTGATATAAGATGTAGAGTAGTTTATATATTGTTGCTTCATATTATGCTGCTACGACTACTTTTTACTTCTAAATAAATTGTTTAGTTATAAAATTAAAATACATATGTACTCTCTGCGAAAATCGTACTTGTTTATGTGGTGTAGCTCAGAATATAAGTAAACTTCGGGAGCTTGTAGCTACAACTTTCAAGCCGTAATCGCCTTTTTTTAAATAAATGTTCAATGCAAGTTGTTACACTCCCATGATATTCGGTGTTGTTTTGCCGGAATATTCTGGTAAAAGACACTTACTTCAGCTACAACTCCCAAAAATGCTCGGCGAATGTTTTATGCTATTACAACAAAAAGTGTCGTTTTTAGTTGTCCCCTTTAGCATTCGAAGAGTTTCACGGATTGTATTTTGCTACTGAAACAAAACTTTCATACATATGTAAATATGTATAAGAAATAATTTTCATATACCAATAATTATCATAGCTTTTTTAGTTCCAAATACAAAAATAAAGACTAAACAATAGAATTACAACTACGAATAAACCATTAAGCACTAATTGCAAACAAAAGGAAATACAAACAAACAAAATAGTAAATATAAAGTATACAAGTACACAAGTACACAAAAAAATTCAAGCCAAGCAGATCCATGAATTATGTAAAATAAAAAAAAAAAAATATACACTTTCATTTCACACTCTTATTTGCGGTCAGTGTAGAAAGTTTCGAAATATTATATACCAACATTTTTTTTTCTTAAGCCATCTTTATTGGCAAGTTGGTAATGAACTGAAAAGTTTGTGTGTTTGAAAATCGGCGCTATGGCTGAAACCACCGTGGCCCGATTTCTTGAGGAATGTTCGATTAAAAGTGGTCTTACGCGATATGTATTTGCATGTTTAAATGTCATATTTTACATATAGAAATGCAGACATACGACCGCATAAAACCAACTAAGATTTGTTTCTGTACAAGGCGGATGCACGTACATACGAAACATAAATGTTTCTAATTATATCTGACATCTGTTTTTGGTTTATTTCGTTTACCAACAACGTCAATTTCAAATATGTAGTTAAATAAATACTGTGTGAATTTGGGAAATAGATGCAATTACATATATACCAAAAAGTTACATTTACAGATGCAAACACATATTGTGTGAGACCACTTTAAGCAATTACTGAATCCTAAAAAAAAAACGTTTAGAGCCACAAAATAAGTGCTGATATAAGCTATGATTAACAATTTGCAACACGGTGATACAAACGTTGTTAGATTTTCGAGCCACACAACGGTTATAATTGTAACGCGAAGAAGCCCAAATGCCGTAGAATTTTCGTAGATTTCACGAAAAATTGGACTACGATGGTTTCATTAATAGCCTCGAATATCCATCCCCTTACTAATTTGCCGAATTAGAACTTACTAGAAGAAAATATTTATATAAAAAAAAAATATTGGCAATGCAAATCTACAATATTTAAGTGTACCTCCTTTTTTACATTCTTGCACATGCATGATTTCTTTGAATATGGGTCAAACTGTTTACATACATTCTACAACTAATGTACATTTTGTTCGAACGGTTTCTGGTTAAAAATATTGCTAGCGTGATCTTTGTTGTCAAGGTATTTTATAATCCAACATTTTCTAATGTTATTCCTCTGTCCAAGTGCCACTATGCGTATCATTAATATTTTCATGTGTGTTTTGTGAGCTTTTCTAATGTTTAGATTATTGGGGAATGAGGAAACTGCATATCGCTACTACACATAAATTACATCATCTCTCATCTAGCTTCTTATAATTCCTATTTTCGACTTCTGGTCGGTCGATTGTTAGAGCTACTACCATTTTCGCTACTACTTCCGGAGATCGCGGCTGTGCTCTCTGCTGCATTGCTAGCGTTTGTCGTGCTGCTGACCACGTCAGTTTTCTCTCCTGCTGTTGCTGCGCTGATCTTCTTCACAATCGATGTGCTGTTGTTCGCCTCGATTGCACCATCTGCAGATACTGTATATACATATAAATTTAATAGTTTCAACTTAATAACAAAATTTTGAATGCCCACTCGTACTTTTACTTTTTGTGTTTGCTAATTTAGAGGCATTTGGTGTCGCTGTTGAAGCCCCAGCAGCTGAAGTTGCGCTGCCGCCAGTCTTCTTTACTGGGGTTGGTGCATTTTCCGCAGTCGGCGTTGTGTCGTCTGCGGCTGCCTTACGCTTATTCGCGCGTTCGCCCCGACTGCTCGCCGTTGAAGTCGACTGTAGGAGAATATTTACATATATGTTATTAAAAATTTTTCAAACATGAGTCATTTTCGTTTAAGTAAACAAACTTTTTCAGGCATGCTTTTGGTTCGTGCTGTTGTCGAGCTAATTGGCGAAGCCGCTCTAGCCCTTGCCAGTGGTGAACGTTGTGCGCGTGGTGACGCCTTCGAAGCACCACCTGTGTTCTTTTGATTTGGTTTATATTCGGCATCGGAATCATCGGTGCTCTCGTTCTCTTCATCAGTGGTTGTAGTCTTCTTTGATTTCGATTTACGCTTGCCGGCTAATTTTCTTTTCTTAGCTGAAGATTTGACACCATGGTCACCAGCTGATGCGCCAGCAATGCTTGCCCGACTGCGTTTGCGTGCTTTCGATGCAGACGCAGCGAATGAGGCGCTTGTACTGGACCTAGCAGTAGTTGGTGTACCAAAGCTGTTACCGCTACGACGTGATTTACGTGTGGTTGTAGGTGTTACACCTGTCGCCGATTTCTTTTCAATCTGAGATTCATCTTTGTACAATGATATATCCACTGAAAAATAAAAACAAGCTGTTTCATTTAATGAACATAGTTTATATACTATCTACTTACGGCCGTCGGGATTTTCCTCTGTGAGCTCAGGTCTTGGCACAAGACCCTTTTCTACGTCAATAGCCTTCTTGAGTATGCTTTCTATGCGCGCTTGTTCCTTCTTTGGCAAGCTGAGATGACCCTTATCAACACGTTTAAGTTCGACCGTCGTCAATACGCACTCAATATCGGTGTGGTCATAAAAATCAGGTATATAAATGCCACTGTTATTTGGATCCTCGGATAGCCAACGGATGCTGATACGGGGCGAAGTGCGATAAACATTTTGCATCGTTTGACACAAGTAGAATGTGCCTTCAGCGTTGCGCACCGCCATATATTCATTTTTGTAGAATACAATTAGCTTGTCTTCCGTAGACATGGGTTTTGGTGAGTTAGAGGCTTCGCTAGCCGACAGCTTTGTGATGTATGCCAGCTCAGGCAATGGACTTTGAAAGGGAATGGTCTTAAGGCGATGACGAGAACTTTTGCGGTCGCTAGCGCTAGTACTGGGCGCTTGCTCGAGCTTGGGCGTGGCCGGTGAGGCTGGCACATCGACTACAGTGCTACTATTGCTGCTGCTGCTACTTATACCACTCTTTAACTTTCTAGATCGACTGCTACTAGATACTTTTTCGCTCTTTTCAATAGTTGCCTTCTCCGTAGATTTTGCTACCGTTTTTATTTGTCGTCCTGAGCGCTTAGCTGGGGTGGAGGTTGCCTCTGATATCGAATTTGTTGAGTCTGGAGCGGTTTCCGCGACTTTTGATTTTGTGCTCTTTGCAATGGTGTGATTGTTGCTGTTGCTTTGAGTTGGCTGTTCGGCTGCAGATGAAGTTGCTGTAGGGACTGTCGCTGAAACCTTTTCTGACTTTGTAATCTTAGTTTTTTCTTCTTTGGGTTTATCAGCGGCGGCAGATTTACCAGATTGACGCTTATCTCCCTCCGCTGCTGGTACAGGATCGGCTTTTGATTTTATATCTGTTGCAGTAGAAGCTAAATTTTTCGAGACATTTACAGCGCATGCAGCTTCATTATTCTCTACGTGTGAAGATTTGTTTTCTACAGTATCTGGGGAATTTTTCCCAGCCGTATCAGCCGATTTTGGCTTTGTGATATCTATTTTCTCTATAGCTCTATTCTTCTGTTCAGTGACCTCTTTAATCTTGTCTTCATTCTTTTCTTCGAGATCTTTTTTAGCACTAACGGCTTGTTTCTTGCTGCCAATCTCTAACTCTTTTGTTGTCAACTTCAAAACGGGTGGCTCTTCAGCTGGTGCAAGGTTTATTACCTTTGTCGTTGACACTGGTGTTGGTCCGGACTTATTCTCATTCTGAAAGAAAAAACATGCACTGCCGATCAGTTCTTTGAATATAACACATAAAAAAGTCTGAGGTGTCGAATGAATTCATAAAATGTACAGCAAAAATATTCAATGGATGCCACTATGCAATGACTATGTAAATAGCCCGCTGATTCCGAAAATTCCTTTTTTTATTCTATGGATAAGTTGTCGAGATATTTTCAATTTACCGTTATTCCGCTAAATAACAAAAAATAGTTCCACTTAATCACGTAAATATATCTCACCAACCAATCTAACAATCGTAATACGAAGTAGGGCAAATGAAAGCCAACAAAATTCTCCATAAACCGGTATAGTAAGCCTGATAGTTTGTGAGAAATTGATAAATCTCTTCAAATTTTTTTTTTGTTTTTTTTATGAAAATATTGAAACAAGTTCTAACTTTAAGAGGGGAAAAATAAAAAAATTACCGATTTTTTGTAATTTTTTTTTTGATTGTATGGAATGTCTGTTCCTTTACAAAAAAAAAATAAAAATACTAACGATGAAATATCAACAGAAAAGCAAGTTACTCAGGTGTGTATGGCGTATGAGTAACATTCTTTCGTGCTCATTTTTCATACTAAAAATCTTTGCGCGTTTTCATTTGACCTGTCATTACTTCGTTATTTATCCCTGGATTTTCTTCGTTATTAACTTCATTTGTATATAACAGAACAGACTTAACCACAATTGCATTTACACAGAATCTGTTATTTTAAAATTTGTCCCTGTTAAAGTTTGATAATTTTTTATTTATTTGTCAGGAAGTATCAGATGATGTATATACGGATTATTGAGAATTTTGTTAGCTTTCATTTTCCGTAATTGGTATTCAAATTGTTAAATTAGTTCGTAAGATATACGTGGTTAAGTGGAACCACTTTTTTTTGTTTTAAGCTGAATAACGGTAAATTGAAAATATCTCAAAAACTTACCCCTAGAATAAAAAATTAATTCGATTTTCGGAATCAGCGGGCGATGCTACATGGGAAATGAATAGGGGCATTCGTAGAACAAAAAAAAAAAAAAACACTGATTTGTGATCCAGTGTAATATATAGAATTTTTTCAAAACTTCAACTGAACATATTCTCTTTATCAAGCTCATTAATTTTATGATGAAATCTCCAAAAACGTAAATTTTGAATTACATCTCTATATTATTAATCGTGCGATATGTACATAGTATAGTGGCTATCGTTTTATCCAACCTAGTCCGATTTTCGTCAAATTTTGGAAAATGCGATCACTGCATCCGAATAGCTACGAATTAATCCATGCAAAGTTTATTCTTTGCTTTTCTAATTCAGTGATAGCATTTACGTGGCTTCCAGTATAAATCGGATAGCTCCGTATATCTCGATAACGTTAGGTTGTTACAAATAAGCGTTGCGTTACCTCAACAAAGTAATGCCCTTATGCGCAAGGGCGTTCGGTTATAAACACTCGTGAATATTCAATGGTTTTAAAGTTATTTTGCACTTTTTCTTCTTAATTACCTTATTTTCCTCCACCCCTTTGTTTTCAGGGTCGATTTTTGGAGCAGCAATTTCACTACGTTCATGTCCCTTAGCAGTTGGTGGCTTGCTTTGCTCCGGTTTTGCGTCACCGCCAACATCAGAACCACTTGCAACATTCGTTGACACTTTTACATCGCCAGCAGGTGCATTTAATTTCTCGGCCGGACTTTCAGCATCAGCGGGCTTCAGGGCTTTAGCATCTTCCCCTTTGCCTGCTGCCCCATCAGTTTTTGTGTCGACTGCAGATGGTTTCGCAGTGTTGTCTGCACTTTGTTCCTCTTTCGCTTTGGCAGGAGCATTGCCCACCGTTTCAGCGCTTTTAGCTTCTTCTACTATTTCCGACGTTGCCGGCTTGGCGTTCTTCTCTGCGGCAGAAATTCGTGTAGCATTGACACCTGGCCCCACAGGTGAGGCTGCTGTTGAATTTGTAGCTTTCTGTGCTGCGACAATTTGTTCTGTACCGACCGCTGTTACACTTTTGGGTGCAGCCACTGCCGCAGCAGGCGGCGTTGAAGTTGAAGAAGTCGTAGCTGCGCTACTGGCTGCTCCCAATTGCGAAGTGGGAGGTGGCGCAGGGGATGCTTGTTTTGTAAGCGGTACAGGATTTGCGCTCTGCTGTGGTGGCTTGGTTGCTCCAGATGCACCTGCAACGCTAATTGCCATTGCTGCTGCACCAGTTGGCACTGCGCCGGCCTTACCTATCGGTGTTATGTTGGTAGTAGCTGTATTGGCGCTTGAGACGATAGCTTGCGGCTTCTGGAAGTGTGTGGGGAATGGTGGTGGTATGGCGCTTACCACAGGTGAAGTTTTACCAGCACCAAATTTGCTTTGTTGGTGTGCGGCAGTTGGTGCAGCAGTTGAAGTGCCAGCTTTTGCGGGCAGCAACGAAATGGAGGGGGTGGGTACCGGCTTGGCACCCCCTGTAGAGGCAGCATTGCTGCCGCTACCGCCGCCGGCAGCGCTGGACAGAGCAGCCGATGTTGCCGTGGTAACTGGAGCGCTGCTAGCAGAGTTTTTGATGGACTGTTGTGCTGCACCACCAATAATACTCACTGGAGCGGCGTTAACTGGCAACGGTGTTATTTGAGTGCTTGGCGGCAAATTAGGGGCTTTTAGCTGATTACCGACAGCAGTCGATGGTGGTGTTTGCGTTGGAGGCTGCGTGGAAGCAGCGCTCACCCCTTTATTGCCTGCAGCTGTTGGTGGTGGTGCAGCGGTCGGTTGAGTTGGAGCTGCCGTTGGGAAGTAACGCAAACTCTGCTGAAATTGCTGGAGCGCTTTTTGTTGTTGTTGCTGAAATTGTCCATGCAGTTGCTGTTGCTGATGTGCAGTCAACAATGGCTGTGGCTGCTGTTGTTGTTGTTGTTGCGCCGATGACGGCGGTTGCTGATGAGTTGGATGATGTTGCGCTGGTGGCGGCTGAGATGGATGCTGTTGCTGTTGTTGGTGCTGCTGGTGCTGTTGTTGGTGTTGATGTTGTTGCTGTTGCTGATGTTGTTGCATTTGATATTGCAAGGTTTGCAGCTGTTGAATGATATTGGGCGGCAATGCCTGCAATTGCTGTTGGAATTGATTCAATGCTGCATTTGGAGCAGCGGCACTGCCATTTGGCTGTTGCTGTTGATGCTGAAACGTTTTATTCAGCAGCTCGGCGGCGGCCGGGGTGCGGGTCAG